TCAGCAGGGGTCCAATGTTGCCCTTGCTTTTCCTTTGGCCTCCCACATATCTGAAAAAGGACTTTTTATTGTCCTTGAGCACTTTTCCTGGAATTCTAAGCCTATGAGAAAGCTAGACTCACCATGAGAAAATAACAATGGATACAGTAATGGATAAACATTTGGATTAAAGTATGATATAGTTTTAGTGAGAGCAGAAGGATTTCCAGGGTTAGGATTTCATGGCTGAACAGCTACACGCGTGTTAGCCAGTGGAATACTGCCATTGTAGGGAAGCCACAATACAACAATTCAAGTGCTCCTCTCCTAAGGATTCTCAGCTCCTAAGGATTAATTTCCTTTGGGTGTTGAGCTACAGCCTGTCCCCACTCAAAGGCACAATAAACCAAGATTAACTCAGTCACCAGTTAAGTTAAACAACTTGTATTAAGAAAAAGACTACAGGACAGCTTGTAACAGACTCATATTAAGAACAGTGTTAAAAAACAGAAACCAGTAAGAATATATATATATATATACACACACACACACACACACACACAAAACCACAACCACCTCAGCTCACCATAAGGTGGTGACTTGTCCTGTCACAGCTCTCTTCCCCTTGGGGATGATACAGAGCTGGTGAGGATTTCTAAGCCTTTCCCCCTTGCCTTGCATAATTGGCCCCTCACTTACTCAGGGTAAGGTGATAAGTTACCAAATCTTCTGTAGAAGAATGAGTGGGCAGTCACTCAGGATCACCTCTCCTCCGGTAAGTCTCCTTGATGATCGAAACCACACACCACCCAATCCACAGTAACGATAGTTCAGACCTACATCTAACTCTAATCAATCCAGGACAGACTGTCATTTTCTTTCTGCTTAACTTCTTGCAGTTTTCTATAAGATGTAAGAATTGCAGTTCATAAGCATTTCATTCAAATCCTACAGTAATGTAGCTTTAGGCTTTCATTTCCAGGTTTTGACATCTTCTCACTGGGCACATCTACACATGTAATTAGTGCAACTGAATAAACTCCACCACAATTTAAGCCAGAGTAAACTAATCCCAATGTCACCATCTACATGTGCGTTTTAGCACAGTAATTTACCCTGCCGTTAGATAGTACCTGTGTCAGACAGGACTATCTTACACTGCAGTAAATTAATCTACTGCACCCCAATTGTGGCGCATGTGTAGACATGCCCCCTGAGTGCTTCTTCAGTGTCCACTACAACAAGTTGACCATAACTTGACCTTTCATTTTCATAGAGCACTCCAATAATGTGAAACACAGCTCCATGAATTTTAAAGCATTATGACCCTGGATTTCTTCATGTATGTGTATTTGTTCTAAATGATGTGAACATCATTGCACTGTTATAGCTTTGGATGTTGTTGAGGTTGTGCTATGTGAGCTTGCTACCTGAAGTAATTTGTTTCTTAAGGAAAGCTGACATACATCAAATGCAGATTTACTTTACCATTGTGGTAATATCCTTTAAAGGAGTCTCCAGTTTTCTCACTAATGAAGTGTTTGCACTGCAGTACTGGTAACCTATTGATATATCACTAATGTCAAATATGGTGATGGTCAATGAAGGATGAAGCTCAGATCTCAGGGAACCTCGTGACCACTGGACAGAATTTCATCATGCAATCATTATATCTTCTAAATGTGTGCAAACAGCATCCTCACATCTTACCTGCTTTTCATCTGTTTATCTTCCCCTGTTCACACAACATGATTCATTACTCATAAAGTGATTTTTTCATTTTCATAATATTCAGCATCATCTTGCCATTTTTGATGACTTTCACAGTGACCTGTTAGTATCCACCATGTGTGTAATGATGGACATCCAGCTGGCAGATTTTCTATTTTTGATTTTCTGCTACAATATTTTATACATACACAGGAGGAATAAAGACAGCATATATTTTAAAATATTAACATGTAGTTACTTAAGCAGTCACTTATAGCTTAGAAGTAAAAATATAGTAACTTGAGCATTTATTTATAGCTTAAATTATTACAAACTAAGAAAAATAAGACAAAAGAGCAATTGAAATATGTTTAAAAGATGCACACACAAAGTTTGTTGTAAGTAGGTAGCATTAGCGTATTAGGTGAAAATGAGACAGAGGTCTGTTTTTCATGGGGTGCATTTACACATGCATTTAAGCATGACTAACTGTAATGCTCATTAAGCTAATGTGCATTAAGCAATATTTGGCAGGTGTCTGCACATGAAGGGACGTGGCACTAAAGGTAGTGCACTAAAGTCAGTGCCAAGTCCCTGCAGCCCTGCCATGTGCCCCTAGTGGCTAGACAGACCTGACACTAAAGTTAGTGTCAGGTCACGACTACATGTGTGTTAATGCACTTTAACTAATTGTGCCTAAATTTGATACCTGCACTTGCAGATATCAAATTTAGGTGTGATCAGCCTAATTTAGCCATTTTTAATGCTCATTAAGGGTGCACACGTGTACATGTGCCCTTATGTGCATTGAAATTAGGCTAATATGCATGAATGCATCTTTTGTAGATGCACCCATGAAGTCTCACTGTGGAATGAAGCCCAGCACTGCCTGCCAGCTTGCTTATGTGTTCATAGGTGGCACATGCACATGCCTTGAATCACATCATGGTTTTGCTACGGCCACATTTGTATTCATTTCTCACTTATTTCAGATTTCTTTGAAGTTTTTGAATTTTGTGCAAATCTACGCTCTCTGTTTTTTAAAATGGTATATAATATGTGGGTATGTGGTACACACAGATACTTTAAAATGTTCTTAGATCATCTACCTCTTACCTACCTTATTAGTATATAGATTGTGGCAGTTCTCAATTTAGGCTGTATTATAAGCTTTTGGTATTTATGTGTTTGTACATCCCCTACCACAAAGAGGCCCCAGCCTGACTGAGGTTTTCTGATGCTAATACTACAATATAAAAAATAAGAAATTTCCATCAATAAAATTCAGGGTGTTGGAATGAAACAAAAATATAATGAATACAGGCTTCAGTGAGAGACTTGGGTTCTCCATTCTTCTGAAACATGCAAATTTGCTATAAAACTCCAAGTTTGAAAATGCTGACTACTGTGATACAGAAACATTGATTTGTTTTGGGGAAAACATTGGATTGTTTCTCTTTTTTTGTACTGTAGCTGTGACTGTCCCAGTGGATGGAAAGGAGCATTTTGCACTGAGACTGTTTCAGCGTGTGATCCTGAGCATGTTCCACCACATCTGTGTAAACAAGGTGCTACCTGCGTGCCAATGCCTGAAGGATACAGATGCCACTGCCCTCTAGGAACAACTGGCACCTACTGTGAAGAAGGTATGACAAGGATATCAAGTTATTTTATTATTATTGACTTTGTTTTTTTTCCAGTGGCAGATTTGTAAGTTATCACGGGTCACAAGATGATCTGCAGCTAATAAAAACAAACAAATAAATAAAGGTGAGTAATGTAAATAGAAATGAGATTTTATTTGTTTGTTCACTACCTCATTGCTTGGTCTGCACCCATAAATAGAAATAATAATAATTAGTCCCCTTGGCACAGTTTTTTGTGACCTGTAGGTGAAAAGCCTACTACACAGAATAAGTATAAAGTAATTTTTTTTCTTAAGTAAAGCCAAGCACTAGTGCTAACTCTCTTAAAAAACAATTCCCTTGAACCAAGGCTGAGAATAGGTTTTGCTCTTCTTGTACTGTGCAGTATACAGGTCTGTATATAAATACAGTGTACAGATGGGCCATAGTTGAGCCATAGCAGATGCTGTTCTGTCATTTGTGGTATCTTAATAAAGTATCTCTGTTCTTCTGAAAGGTTCTGTGAGGCTTTGTTACAGACCATCATTACTTGTCTTGGCCAAAACTCTCTGTCCTATATTTCACTTTACTTCTGACTGAGTAATGAATTATAATGAGCTTTTTCAAAGTACAGTTTGTACTTTTCATGGATGGCAAATTGCTAAAACCTAGCTGTTTATCAAGACTCAATATCTCCTTTCTGGATTGATGGTGGGTATTGGATCAGAAAGAAGACGAAACAGAGAGCAATGAACAGCCCAAGGGAGCAAGAGGGAACAAAGTGAAATCAAATGATGGAGACTAATGAACACCCAGGAAAGAAAGATAGAGTGAGAGAAAAGGGCAATGGAGATTTATGAGGCACAAAGGACAGTAGAGGAGAATAATAAACAGTAAGGACAAATAAGGCTTTGCCAAGTGACAGGGACCAGTAAATACAAGGCAGCAAAGTGGGTCACAAGAGAGCAAGTCCAGCAAAGTGAGTAACCAAGACTGGCATGGGTTAATGAAGAATGATGTTGAGGGTGACATAGTTCTGACTGCAAATGTGACAGACTAACTCAGCCTGACTGAGGCCATTAATCATACAGATAACTTGTTTAATGAGAACTAATATGTATTTTGACATGGGAAGTATGAACTAAATGTCATAGTTATCCATTAATTGTGTATATGAAAAGAGGTGAGCTAAGTGTGCTAAAACCAATATGTTCCTGTTCTTTGCAGAATGTTCTCTTGCACAACAGAACATTCAATGGAACCACCCAGAGTGGAGCAGATCTCCATATGGAACAGGGATCTGACACAGCATGATTAAACTAGAAAAGTAGGGGTTGGAAGTGCAGCAATTAAACATCTCAATCAGAAGTGAAACAAATACAGGGAGAGCAAAATCAGCTATGGAAAATACTCCTAATTATTTGCCTGGGTTATATCCCATGGCCTTTACCTAGGCCAGTGGTCACCAACCAGTGGATCTTGATCCACCAGTAGATCTTGGAGCCTCTTGGAGTCTATCCAGGGCTGGGGTGAGGGGTGCCCACGTGCATGCACATGCAGGCCCCAGCCCAGATCAGTCCATGGGGGAAGAAAGGGGCAGGGGCTAGATCAAGACCCCCACAGTGAGGGACAGTGCTGCAGAGGCATGAGCAGGGGTAAGTTGAGTGGGCCCCTGGCCAGGTAGGACTTATCTGCTGGGGAGGTGCACCCCCAAATAATTTGTTCTCCCTCTGCCTCAATCTTCTCCCCACCCATTTCCCTTCCCACAGACTTACCTGATGGGCTGGTGGGGAGGGGGGTGGCAGCAGCAACGGTAGATCTTGGGTTGCTTTTAAATGCCAAAGGTGATCTCCTACTTAAAAAGGTTAGAGACCACTGATGTAGGCCTACTCCCACTGACTTCACGACCTGAGTAAGAACAGTGCAAATACTGAGCAAGGTCTTCAGGAAAAGCAATCCTGTTAATCTCTGGACCCACCTAAAACATTCCCTGACATTGCAGGATGCCAAGGCATGGGCAGCGCACATAGTCTCACCTTCTCTCTTCCTGTGATTCACTGTAATTTGAAACCCTTGGCTTTTTGTACAAGAGATCCTACACGTGGGGAGAGGGTGCTCTGTGACTTGTGGTTTGCTGCGGGGCTGAAGTGGATGTTCTTGTGCAGACTTTTGGACATAATGCTGCTTGCAGACATTAAAAAAAAAATCAAAAAACAAAACCATGCTTTACTGAAAGAAGCAGCGCATTACTTTGACGTGGCTCTGCAGCATCTGTATAGATCAGGCTTTTCAGCAGGGCTTTTCAGCACTTTTATCTAATAGTTGAGTCAATCTACTATTAGATGAAAGCATCAGAAAAGCCCTACTAAAGTGCCTGATCTATACAGAAGTTGGGTGAACTGGGTCCAACTAATGTGCTGCTTCTTCTGGGCACGTGCTGGGCTTGGTGTAGGAGCATGTGGAGTTTAAAGTGCTGTTTGTTTGTTTTTTGTAACATGTTGAAGCAGCCAGTGTGGTTTCCTACAATCTCAGGGACAGGACTCAGTAACCCAATGGATCCCTTCCCTTGCATTTGCCCTTTCTAATGCTGCTATATTTACCTAAATCCAAGACAACTTTGAATTTAAGACAACTCCCCCCTCCCACCCCCCATATAATTAGATTCTATACATGGAGAATTATACATTTGTTATAATTCTCCACATATAGAATTTAATTAGTTCATTCCCACCATTGCTATGTTAGGGAAAACAGTGGGTGAGAGGCCAGACCCCCATCCCTTGCTCTTTTGCCCCTTATCCCCCCATACCTGCCTCTCCTGGTACCTACCTCCTGCCATGTAACCCCTGCCCCTGTCCCTGTGCTTGTGCCTGCCCCCCACTCCCTGTCCCCCAACTCCTTCCCTCCCCCCTGAACCCTCCTGCAGCCTGCCTCCCCACTCTCTACCCCCATGTGCCTGTGCCTGACCCTTGCCTCCTATCCTCCATGCTGCCCCCCCCCACTCCTTTCCTACCCCCTCCTCCATACCTTCTCTTACAGCTCTGTTTCTCTGGAGTAGTCAGCAGCAACGCAGCCTTGGCCCAGCCCCAACCCTAGCCCAGCCTGGTAAGGGAGAAGTGGCAGCATCTCCTGGTGGGGCTGGGTTGGGGTTTTAGGAACCAGAGCTGAAGGTGAAGGAGAATGGGGGGCAGCTGGAGGAAGGGAGCAGGCTTCAGTTGGGAGCAGTGGGTGGAGGAGGTAGGAGTGCAGGTGTCGGGGGGTAGGCTTCAAGTTCTCCCTGTGGTCCCCCCCATACTTCCCTCAGTTGCATGCCCCCTTCCCCACCAAACAAGCTATTCTAGTCCAGGGCAGGCAGTGGCTTAGCTCTGGCTTCAGCACTGAGTCTGGGATAAAAGGCAGAGCTGACCCTATGTCTGACATGGGCAGGTATTCACATCCAAGATGAGATTCCATTCCCCCCTCCCCCCACTGCTGGGGGGGGGGGGCGAACCTTCATCTTGGATTTGAGTAAATACAGTAAGTTCCTTGTTCCAATTTGAAACATATTTTTAAAGTAGAAAAGTAAGTTCAGATCATAAGGCCCTTATACACACCACAACATTGGCCTTTAAAGCAGCTTAAATGCCCTTTTCTACTGCTTTAATGGCATTGCTGTTTGCATGCTCGGCAGCGTATTTCACTTTAAATGACTTTGGTACAGAGCAAGATAAAACACCTCTGAGGTATTTTAGTTTGCTACCTAACAAAATGCAACAGTGCACAGGGTGCTGGAAGCTGACATGCTCGGGGCTTGGAAGGCCCTGCACAGCTCAGGGGCTGTGGGACCCGGTGGCAGTCAATGCAACAGGCTCCACTGAAGAAAAAAAAAAGCGGCAAACCTGATCTTTTTTTTTTCCTCTCTCCCTGGAGCCTGCCTGTCTGCCTGAGCTATGCGGGGGCCCAGTGCTTCTCTCCACAGCTGTGGGGGGGCTGGAGCCCCATTTCCTCTGCAGCTGCGGTGTCCCCCCAGGACCTCCCAGGCCAGGTGCCAGCAAGCAGGTGCAACCTGGGGGCCCCCCCATGCAGCTCGGGGACTGAGGCCCACTGGCAGCTTGCCCTCCCCCTCCGCCCCCACCGCTGAAGAGGCAGGTAAGGGTCAGGCCCCCACCCTTGTGTACATGCCACAGGGGTTTGGTTTCATTTAATTCTTCCTAAATTGAAGCAGTGTTTTTAAAAAAACCCACCATTTCAACTTAGGAAGAACTAAACTGAATTAAACCCCTGTGGCATGTACAAGCAGCCATTAGCTTTAACTTTTGGTGCAGAATACATTCAAAGGCTTCTTCTGTTCACATAGATACAGAGCCTGCTTAGTGTTTACCACGAATTATGTTCCATGTACCCAGTGATAGCACCAATTTAAAGGAAAAAAATATGGTTAATTTGTTGATTCTTGAAACAAACATTGCTAAAATGAAATAGAAAAGGGCAAATCACACAAGACTGGAGTCTTTTCTAAATGTTAATCTCACCGTTAAGGCTTATTTGGAATTTTCCTAACACTGTTGTGACTCAGGTATCAACAGATCAGTCTGATCCAATGGCTTTGATAATCACAGTTTTAAGAAGAAGACAAAAAATTCAGTCAAACACTGGTGCGCACAAACCTGCAACCTAACATAATCAAAACCTGGCACTTTACCAGTTCTCAATTAACAAAATCCCTGAAGACTGGGAATATGAGGAAAGAAAGTAAACAAGCTCCAAAAACCTGATGACATTTTATAGTGCACCAGAAGGCTATTTTATGTGACTAAAATCATTGTTCATTTAACTGAAACCTTACAAGTTAAAGAAATGTCTGGCACCAAATTATCTGTAGCTCAAGAAGAGTAACTTTAAACTGTACCCCAGAATAACAACTCGGGCGGCCATTTCTGGAGAGCTGCATTCAAAAGAAACAAAAGACTCCGTTCCTTGCACGTCAGCTAAGAGGTAGAGGAGCCTGCTCTATGACTTTTGAAACACCAAAGGCCAGCTTA